CACACACACACACACACACACACACACACACACACACACACACACACACACACACACACACACTCTTTCCTCAGTTATTTTTGAGACTTCATTGATCGGAGGGGAAAGCTCTCCTCCGGTCTCTCTGTGTGATTCCCTGAAGGCAGCAGATGGACTAAAGCTGCTGTTTGTGGCTTTGCAGCACTTCAGCAGGTATGGCCGCCTCCTCCTGTGTGTAAACTAAGCCACGTGTAGACAAAATGCCCAACAAGAGTTTGGGCAGCTGAGCCCGACTCCTCAGACCCCTTCAGGTTTATCTTCACAGAGCGGAGGATGGATGGAAATCAGCACGGTGGTATACAACAGTAACAGTCATCATCGTTTGAGCAGGATTAATCAGGCGATAACTCGACCTTTGGACGTCTTCTCATGTCCTCGTTAATCAAAGTGTCCTCCTGTCAGCAGACTATGAGCTGAACCTGCTCCTCGTGACAGCAGAGAGTTTGAGACTTTAGAGGAGGACAAAATCAGGAGGCCAATGAGAGCTGCACTGCAAAAAAGGAATGCAGAGAAATAATTGCTCTGTCTTGATTATGTTGCTTCCATAATTGCTGTAAGCCATAATTGTAACTGAAAATACATTTCCATGGATTGCACAGTAATAAGCGGGGGTAGAGACCGAGTGCAGCAGGACTGCACTCTGAGACTGGAGAGCAGGCTGCCGGCCAAAACAGCTGTAGTGCTGCTTAATATCGATTCTGCAAGTCTGTGAAACTCTGCTGGAGAGACGAACAGCGTTCCTCCTAAAAACATTCCCACATTTGATGAGAGTCAGAGGTGGACCGCACCGGCCCCGAATCTCTCACAGGTGTTTGTTTGGGTGGAAGACATCCCAATAAAATCCAGGAATTTCATTCCTCAGAGCCGGAGCTCAGACGTGAACACGGTCCACGGGTCAAGCTCCGGAAATCCAGTTACCACAGGTGAGTCCAAGAGGCCACGCCCCCAAACATCAAGTGGTAAAACAGACACAGAGGCCCAAACAGTTTTTTGTCAGGGTGTAAACATGTTTATTTCTGCTGTAAGGCTTTAACATGGCAGTGTGGGGGGACGGACTCGCTGCTGGAGCCCCTGCTGGACGTCAGAGGAACTGCAGCGAGCTGTAAACATGAGACTGTTCAGGTGTGTCAGTCGGAGCTGGCATCAGGTGTTTTTTTCTTTCATAAATCGAACGTCTGACATTTATTATTATTGAAAACCTGAGCTAGAGCACAACCTCAGAGCAACGTGATTAAATAGTTCAAATGTTCATACTGATGTTTTCTACATAAACACTCTGATATCTAAAATGACCTGAAATGATCTCTGAGCCCGACGCTGTCAGTTTCACAGCGCGCCGTCACCACTTGCTGTCAGTCACGGCGCTCGAGATGCTTTTCAAACGGCTGATTTTTTGTTTCAGAACAAAAGTCTTCAGCTGCTTCGAGGCAGGTCAAAGCGAAGGGCAAAACGCTCGGTGGAATAAAGGATTATGGGTAAACCCGAGGATTTCAGGCGCTCTGGCCTGGGACCCAGATGAGAGGGAAGGCATTCCTCTCCCTGGGATGGAGACTAATTGAGACAAACCTATTTCCTTTCTGAAGCACAGACCTTCAAGAAATAGAATCTATGACCCCGTCAGGATCGAAATCCACAGTTTAAGAAACAAAGAGCGGAAAATTTTCATCTAGAGGGAGGAAAACATCCAAGATTTAACTCAGAGGAGAAGAAGAATCCGGCTCTGTGCTCTACAGAGTTTAGACTGAAGACACAGAAACGACATAAAATAAAGCATCCAAAGTCTAAACCATTTCACGGGTCTGGGTAAAAACAGCAGGAAACAGGAAACACAGATAACGGCTGCTTCAGAATAAAAGCCTCATCTCCAGAGGATAAAACATGACTTATAGTCCCTGATGATGTCACAGAGGGCACTTCCTCACACGTCACATCTGGTTTCAAAGATGAAGAAATGAAAACAATCAGCCTGAATCTGTTAAAGCAGTGACCACAGGGTGGCACGCAGGCTGATGGGCGGGCCTTTGGACGTCTGCAGGTATTTAGCATAGAGTTAGTTAAGGCAGTGGTCTCCACCCCTGAGTGGTTTGGTACCGGGCTGTGAGAGTTGAGGCTCAGGTGTAAAATTTATGGTTTTCAGGGTTTTTATCGTAACTCTGTTTAACTGGGTCTTTTCTCTCGTGTTGTAGTTGTGTGTCTTATTTTGAAAGAAATGCTTACACGTTACCATAGCGACCTGAGAGCATTAAGGGGCAGAGAGGAGGATGTTACTCTCAATGTCGTTGGTGCATTTCAGGAGGACGCTGCTAATAAAGTTACAGAATTACACAGTGAATTCACGTTTATTATTATATTTACAAAATATCACAGTTTTTTCTCGGTCGTGTCGTTTTATTTTGTTGGATTTATCTGCCACACCTTAAAGGCCGGTCCGTTGGGAACCGCTGTGTTAAGGAACTGGACACGATGGCTTCACTGGTGGTTTAAATGAAAAAAAAACCTACAGACACCAATAGGGATGGGTATCGAAACCCGGTTCTTGTTGAGAACCGGTTCCCACTGTTTCACTTCCTTGGAATTGTTTGACGTTTCGTTTTTGCAAACGATTCTCTTATCGATTCCAGTCACCCGGAATGACGTCACCAGGTTGCGGAGCGTCATTTACCTGGCAGGAAACACGGCGGCTCAAAAGTTTGGTTATACTTTACGAGAACGGAAGACAACAGGGCAACTTGCAATACTTGCAAAGTAGATATTTCAGAGTCTGGCTCAGATGCTGGCAGCTCTCGCTGCAGTCTGCCGGCAGCGTCTCCTTTCAGGCAGGATAGACGAATGTCACCGAGCAGAGACTCAGTTTGTGGTCAAAGGCTTGCACCTGTTTGCCACAGCAGATGATTTTCAGTAAGTGAATGTGTTTAATTGTAGGCAGGGACATTACTGGATATTCTTGTGTAGTTGCTACAGAATCATTTCTGTTATACTTTGTTATTGCTACAGAAGAATATTTATTTTATTATTTTACATTTACAATTTTTTTTCCTGGGGACCCTGTGACACCCCATTGAAGAGCCGTAGGCTGGATCTCTTAAGATCTCACTGTTGGGTTTGTAAGGTCATGTTACTCCTAAATTTCTGTCTTGTTCAAAGAGAAGATATAAAACAAAGTTCTGAGCTAATCGACCTTAGTGTTCTCCTTTTTTAAAAAGAATCGATAAAGAATCGAATCGTTAAACAGAATCGAAAATGGAATCGGAATCGTGAAAATCTTATCAATACCCATCCCTAGACA